TGCTGACGTCATTACACTCTTGCGTGATGCTGCGTTCAGGACAAGCATGAAAAACTCACCACTCTTATGCCAATTCGGTCTCAATGATGCATTTAGGTACTGAAATGGAATTGCATGAATATTCACGTGGTGGTTATGTAATACAGATAATCAATAATAAAAAATCTGTGTCGACAAATTTACATAATCGACGTCATCGATTATTTCAACTAATCGGTGCAGCCCTAAATCTGACAAACGTCTGTCTATGATTAGATCTAATTACAATAATATTTTGCCCTTGATCTTGGCAAAAATCAAGCATTCTTTACCCTAAATGCTCCCAACATAAAAACACTGAACTCTTAATTAGGAGCAAATAAAGAGTGCAGAGCCCCTGCGCTGAGGTGAGAGGAATGGTTTGAACCCTACTGGTGGTCTATATTTACCACAGCTTGGACCCAGGGAAAAACAGCAACAACCAGGCAACCAAAGCCTGGGAGAAACACAAGCTCATTAGGAGCCTGAGTGCACCGTAGCAGGCTGAGAATGACGGGACACCTGTCTGCACGCAGGCTGAAGCTAAAGCCCAACGACAAAAAAAAACACAAAGCTATTAAAAGATGAAGCAAGGGAGACCCCCCCCCCCCCCCCCATCTTGTTTCTGTTGAGGACGATCCACTGCAGGTTCAGAGCTTAGTGACGTTTGAAAGCATCGATCAGGCCAGACCTGACCACGTCCTGTTACTCTGCTTCGATGAAATATCCATCTTAGGGCTGCAACTAACCATTATTTTAATAATCGATTAATCTGTTGATTATTTTTTCGACTAGCCGGCCAAATAATTAAAACAATTAATTCCATAGAAATAAGTATTTAGAAATCAATTTAATTCCTGTATAAATTAGGGACGCAAGTTATTGATTAATGTGAAGTTGTCTGAAGTTGTTTTATCTTATAGACTGACTAACGATTAATTGATAAGCAGCCATTTTCTTAAAAATCAGAGTTTTCTATTGAATCAAGAGGGTCTTTCCATAAAATGAAGGATTTTTTAATAATATGCGTTTCTGTGTAAATTAGGGATGTAAGTTATCGATTAATGTGAAGTTGTCTGAAGCTGATTTATCTTATAGACTGACTAACGATTAATTGATAAGCAGCCATTTTCTTAAAAAACAGTTTTCTATTGAATCAAGAGGGGTTTTTCATAAAATGAAGGATTTTTTTAAATAATATGCTAAATTTAAAAAG